AATATCTCTGCATCTTTATATTTTTATTTAAAGATTGCAGAACTTTTCGTCAGACATAAGTATATATATGTATATATATATATATATATCATCAATAAATTGTCGATCATATTATTGACATAGATCTTTTTCTCGACTACATAAATCAAGAACAATTGTAAGAAAAGAAACAATTAAACGACATTGTTCAACAATTTTTATTTCACCAATATTATTTATAATAAAATGTGAAGTTGTACCAAACCAACTAGTTATTTGATATTTAAATAATGTTAATAAATAAGTTTCACCTGTTGTCATATCAGAATCAGTATGAATATGAATTGATTGAAAAAAAATACGGTAAAACTTCATTAGACTAAAAACAAAACAAAACAATCGAATTCAATTTTAATGGGTGATGCAAAACTTTTTACAAAAATGTCGCTCCATTGTTCCTTGGCTAAACATGTTTGGAAGAAATCGGAAATACCTATTTAAGAATCTGCGTCGAAAGTGATTGCTAACTGTATAATTAAAAAAAAAGTTGTACCACGTATCGACTTGGAGTAACAAACACATCTTTAAACACTACTAAAATGTACATTGTAAAAGAAAAACAGTTCAAAATGACTGTGGCAAAATGATCAATCCTTCTGTATTTTGTGATATCCTTCGGCTCATTTCATCACAATGTTATGCTCTTCTATCTATTAGAATATATGTTCTATTTTCAGAAATCAATATAACGAATACTATTGAAATTTTTGAAACAACATTGCCAAATAAAAACAACTTCGAAGTTCTCATCATTTTCAGGTTGATATACATTTTGTATTGGCCAGTGCTCGCTTTTGCCATTTCTCTGAGTTGGCAACATAAGAGCTGGGCTATATACTTGTAGTTCGAGTATCTTGAATCAACATTGTATCTGTTTTGAATAGCAATGGTGGCACTTGGATCTTGAAAAAATCTTATCAGACCCTCATCAGTTTCACATTCGGTTTTAGTGTGTTGTTTTCAATTTCCTTTTTTCGTGTTATTCACAGCGATCTCGTACGGTTTTCTATCAAGTTTGTAGAGAATTAAACAGCAAATTTAACAAAATAAAGAGCAGAAAAATACAATGGACTACATGCGAGAAAATCAAAAAATAATGAGAGAACAGTTCCTTTCTCTCACAACTACATTGAGATGTTTTTCTAGCGTATATTTTAGTAGTGTTTAAAGATGTGTTTTTTACTTGAAGCCAATACATGTTAAAACTTTTTTGATCATACAATTAGAAAGTGCTTTCAATGCAGATTTCTAATAGGTATTTTCGATTTTTCTTCAACTTGTTTTAACCAAGGAAAAATAAAGCGACATTTTTGCAATAACTTTTGCATCAACCGTTATCTTCAACAAGTTAATGTAAATTATTCTAAATGATCATAATGATGACAGTACATGGAGATTTTTTTTCATGTATTATAAATATTGATAGTTTCTTTTATTCTTATAAACTAAATTTTCATGAGTTCAAATTATTCTAATTTAAATATATTATCTATTTATAAATTATATTTTGATGATATTGAAGAAATATTTCTTAATACAGTATCATTTAAATATCTATTTATTTCATCATTAATAATATGTTTCTTTATATTAGCTAGTATTATTACATTAAATCAAAAACAATATTTCTTGCATGTCTTATATCATTTATATATTGTTTATTATTTTATTCAATTATTATCAATTATTTTACTTAAATATAATGTATATAAATATTAATGAAAAATATTTTGGTGAAATATGTCGTTGACCTTATTATTTAAAAGCTGCATCCGAAACAGAACAATGTTTAACATTAATATTTATATATGCTATATGAAGTCAAAATATTCGACATTTTTTAAAACATAATTATTTATCAAATACTGGTCATATTCATTTTCGTACATTAATATTTGTTTGTTTATTATTTATAATTTATGTTAATAATTGGATAACATATTTAAAAGTTGAAAAAAATTCATTTAATTACATTAAATGAATCAAATTATGAAATAAATGTTGAACAATATTCAATAACATTTTATGGACGAAATCATGTTAAATTAAATGATTATCAACAATTTTATTTAGATCTTGAAAAATATGCACAAAATTATGAAAAAACTCAAATAAAACAAAATAAAAGCAAGAAAAATTATTTATAATGACAAAGATGATTCATTACATGAAATAATAATAATAATAATTTCCTATGATAATTTTTTTTAGTCAATAAAAAACAATAAAATTAAATCGAACATGACAAAAACGTGGCAATCGTCGTCATATATGAAATAAAACAATCTATGGTAATAATTCATATCGTATACATCGTTGTACATTTGAACAAAGAAATTTTTTCTTAGAAAATTTTTTATCTTTAATACATTCAATATTTTATTTAATATTAATTATTTATTATTTAACAACAATTTATTAATATAAAATTCCATATATAACAAGAGATTATCATCAAAATTTATATCATGATGAAGTACATACATTTGGACGAAAAAAATCTGTTGAATGTTATAAACAAATAATATTATTAAGACATTTAAGACATTTTCAATATTTAATTGTTTATTGTCATATAACAATTATTTTAATTCGTCTTATTTATGTTTGTTCATTTACATTTATTTTATATTTAATTCAATCACCATTTCAATAGTTAACAATGAAAATATTTTATTATACACTTTTTACTATTATATATTATTCAATACCTTTATGTATCATTATTTTATTTCTTTATTTATTTTTAAATTTATTTTCATCACATATTCATTCAATATTTTATTATATATTTCATACAAAATTACATTTTTCATGTAAATTACAAAAACCAACATTACGTTTTCATTTATATATTGTACAATATCATCAAAGAAATATAGAACATGAAAAACATTCAAAAGATTCATTAGTTCTTGATTTAACATCATCAATTTATGATGAACAATCGCCTATATCTCTAAATGACACAATTGGTACTTATGAAGAAAATAGTAGTAATCAGCCTCCAATAACAACAAGTAGTTGTGGAATTGTAAATGAATCTGAAACTAGTAAACTGTGATTAGTATTTGTTCTTCATATTTCTTTTTGTTTTTCAAAAAAAAAAAAATAATAATAATAATAATAATAATAAAATTGATAAACAAATCATTTTATAAACTTTTGTTTTTTGTCTGATGAAAAAAAAATATAGATAAAACATTAATATAACTCTTTTTATTTTTGTTTCAATTCAATTCATATGGCTTTTCTCTATCTATTTGATTTCAATCAAATAGTTTTTACTAACAGTTGAACTCTATAGAACTAAAATTAAATATTCCATCTATTAAGTAATTATTTATAATAGATGTTTGTTGACAAATGTTATTCGTGTTTTCTCGTCATACTAAACTATACATAACAAAAATTTGCAATGTAAAATTTGGTATCTAAGAGTAAAATATAAATAAATTTTTTTGACAATATAATTTTCTTTTTTTTATCTTCGTGCTTCTCAACATCATAATTAATTATATACGGTTCATTTTTATCTTTGAAATCTAATCTGTTTCTGTTAATTGTACATTATCTATACCTTGTTACCTTCTCATTTCATAATATGATTACATTTCTACATTTGTATTGTTTTTTTTTTCAACTAAATGAAGAAGAAAATTTCTTTTCTTATGTCAATCAGTTGACATTGTTTGTTTTTCATTCTTTGAACTCAATATATGTCGTGAAAGTAGTTGGCTCTTAATAATAAGAGTTAATATATTTCAATATGTAATTTTGCTGCTAGATTAAACTGCCATTCTGTTTAAGGAAATTGAAGATTATACTGAAAATTTTCTGATAACTAATGTAACCAACAATCTATCAATAATTAGGATCAAACATAGAAGACCTTTCTATTTGAAAAACAAAATGCCAAGTTTCGTTCGAAATGTAGAGCCTATTATATCGATTACTTTAATACTAACGATAAAATTCTTGGAAAGTGTTTGCTTGATATGAAAAGTATAAAGCTTATGGTTAGAATAAATTTATATAAAATATAATATGACTAATGCAAGACTGAACGTTTTACAATACAAATAAAGATTTAATAGAAAGAAACATAATGTTTTAGCGCGAAAAGGTTATTATCGAATAGTATATACACTATATATATTTATAATTTGATTATTTATGATAATCTTTTCGCGTTAAGACTTTCCTCCTATTTGGTACTCAACTAAAAAGTGTTATATATATAGGCGTGTAGAAAGAATTTTGCTTTACAAAATCTGCTATGTTACTATGTGCTTAAATTCTGCTTTAGGGATATATGATGATGGACATTTTAGCATGTTTTTGTTTTTACTGTATTTTTATATACTATTACCTACGGATCTTTTATCATCAAAGGGAGTAAATCAACTATGGTCCACACGATTTCAAACGTGAAAATCGATTTGAAGAAACTTTAGCAAGTTCAGTAGACGTCTCCTTATTTATTAATGATAATAATGAGTGCAACAGAATAAATGGCCCTCTCCATATTTTTATCATTAACTCTTTTACCTTTCAACCGAAAGACATCATTTTTTTGTTTTTTATAAAAAAAGGTTCGCCGTGAAATTCTCTACAAAATGGCCTATTTCAGGTTCATTCATTAGCTTTCATCATATTTTAAAATGAGATGGATTTGCTTGACAAAATCAGCAGGACTTTTCAAAAATAACAATTTTGAACTTTTTTCATATCGTCTCAGTTATCGTTTTCCAGCGATTTTTTGTTGATATTTTTTTCTGGTTCTGATATTTATCGATTTAATCTAATTAGACAAGTCTAGATGGTTCTGTAGCATCAATAAATCGCGATTGATTAGCAATCAAAATAAAATATCAACAAAAAATCGCTGGAAAACGATAACTGAGACGATATGAGAGAAGTTCAAAAATTGTTATTTTTGAAAAGTCCTGCTGATTTTGTCAAGCAAATCCATCTCATTTAAAAATATGATGGAAGCTAATGAATGAACCTGAAATAGGCTGTTTTGTAGAGAATTTCACAGCGAATCTTTTCATAAAAAAAATCATGTCTTTCGGTTGAAAGGTGAAAGAGTTAATGATAAAATATGGAGAGGGCCATTTATCCTGCCACACCCGTTAGTTATTCTTTTTTTTTTTTTTCTTTTTGTTTCTAAAAGGGCATGAATATAATCATTTTTATATGAGTATGATATTTTTTTTTTAAATGTATTATTAAAGAAAATTTTTAATAATAATTTTATATAAATTGTAATTCAATATTGAAATTGAAATTGTTGTATTAGAAGAAATTTTTGTTCTCATAAAAGTAAAAAAAAAAAAATATAATTTTATTTCTTACAGCAAAACTCTCAAGAAGAAAATTTTTGACTAGAATATTGACTGTATTTATTAATATAGAGTAAATAGTTATGAAGTAATCTTTCGGAGAAAAGTTGAAAAAAAAAACTTAATAATAATTCTATAGAATTAGATAATTGCATATCAAATGAACAAGAAAGACAGAAAATTATCAATGTATTGTTATTGATCGTTGACTCGCATATGTAAAGTTTATCGTTCATTAAGTGGATCACTTTTTGTAGTTGAGGAGACGACATAATACTAACAACATAATTGCAAATTTAAGATATTGTCCTATTTTATTAATATTTCTATGAAGTTCAAAAGATTCTTTGAAATGTGAGCACTTTACCTTTTAATGCCAACCCTTAACAGTATGATTGTTCTCAAAAAGGAACATTTTCTTCCTTGCGTGCATTATTATGTGCGAAAGTCATTAAAAAAAAAACAAAAACTCAAGTTTTCCTTATAATCTTCAGAAAATCAATTGTTTTTTTTTTATTCCGAATTTTCATTAAAATAAATTCAATCAGCTCATCCATTTAATCTTCTATTTAAAAATAATCTAATCATTGATTATTATAAATATATATATGTTAAGTAAAATTCATATCAATTAAATTTCAAGCTGGAATTTATTTATAAAGTGCATATATTAACATAAAACGTTTACAAAAACAAAAATAACAATGATCAATCACTCTCAAACAGGCACACATTTAATAAAAAAACTAATGTCTAGACATAAGCAACCAAATTTCTTATTCAGTTAGCTTCGTTGATGTTTTTTTTTTTGTTTTTTCAAAAAAATATAGATGCATTCAAATGAAGCACAAATATTATAGATAAATTTAAAAAAAATATATATTAAAATCTTTTGTTTGTTTGTTTTCTAATCTTCATTTTACAGTTGTTGTTGTTATTTTATTTTTTGTTTTTTTATAACATTGACTTGTGATGTTGGAAGAACAAGAGGCTTTTGTTGTTGAGGACTTTTATCTAAAATAAAAATCAATTTTTTTTTTATAAGTTTAGTTTAGTTTTATTAATTTACTCTTTTTTTAATGCTTGAAGACGTCGAGGATTTTTAACACAACCATCAACACCCATTAAATGTTCACGCCATGGTTTTTCACCATCATGAATATTCATATGACATAATGGACAACGATTTGTATTTGGTTTAGCTTCACTACATTCTTTAAGTTTAATATGAATATCAAAATCATTTCCAATTGCTTCTGTGCATCGTGGATATTGTTGATATTTACTTTTTTTTTTGCACATTCATCTAATAAATGTTCAATATAAATTTCAATTTCGACTATCTATTAATATCGAAATAAAAGAGACAAAAACAAAAAAAAAAAAAAAAAAGAGTCAAATCAAACAAACTTGATTGCATTCTTGACATCGTCGTAACATTGGACAATTTGCTCAATAATGTGTTTCAAGACCATCACGAATAAAATCATCATTTTTTTCTTCACAAAATATACATGTACTAAAATATTGTTTATTTAAATTTACAAATAGCAAAACAATGAATTTCTACATGTTAAGAATCGAAACTATGAACTAAGTGAGAGACGAAAAAAAAAAAAATTGTTTTTTTTTTTTTGCCTTCAGAAGGCACGAGATACTTTTTCTTTCATTTATTTAGATTTAACAACTAGTACACCATACATATCTCTTAGAATATCTTGATAGTGATTATATAAGAATGAGGTTATAATTGACTGTTACTTTTAGAATAGAAACTGTTGAGTTAGATTCGAATTCGAGTGGATCTTTGTTTATATGTACAATAAGGCAGTCAATTAATTTTATTCGAAATATCTTAAATGAAACATTTACTGCTACTATTTTTATGATTCATTTTACTTTGATCGAAAGTAAAATGTTGAAAATTGAGATGAAAATTTTTGCATACTTGAAAATTAAAAAGCTAAGTAGATAAATTTGAATTAGATATTTACTATTGAAAACGTGAAAGTCAAAAAAACATAACGAATGATTGAGAAGATTAGATGCTATAATCATAATATCGATTATATAAGAGATGTTTATTCGATTTTGTAAGTTTCAACTAAAGTTTAGATTATCTTATTTGAAAATTTATTTATTACACTCATAATTAATGTCAAAATCAAACTAATACAGTAGTCGTAAAAAGTCCCGTTATCAGATGAAAAGTATCAATACCTCAACCGTTGGGGCTCATATTTTCACCATAAATAGAACTCAGTAAACTCTGATCATAGGTACCAACCCGACCTCGATCAGTTGATGTATATGGAAATTAGTAGCTTAATCATCGTATCATCACGTTGTAAACACTGTGAACAAAAAATGTAGTGTCAGAAAACTTTTGTTGGTAGTTTAATGATATTACAATTTATTTATGTTTTTTGTTTTTTGTTTTTTTTGGTAGTGCTAAATGCAGTTTCTTATGTCTAATTTACGCAATCAAAAGTCTACCTCATAATATCGAGATTTCATTGATTGACAAGCTATGCCATGATGAACTCTTTTGATGACTCTATCTCCACTCTAGCTTGAGCTATGATGCTGAAAATTTTATCACAAACTGCTAGACCTATGAGAAGTCACGGCTGAAATTTTCAAGTGAATTGATCAAGATTAAGTCGAGTTATTTGATATCAGATTAGAAACTTAGACTAACCACTTAGCAGACGTTTTCAATATGAAGATCATATCTCCATTAATACAAAATGATTTTTTTTTACCAAACTTTTACCGCGGCTAGCTTCGATATTGGGCTTTCGAATGAGAGATCATGCAAAATTAAACATCGAGAAATGGTTGAAATACAGTCTTTACAAGATGATGTTACGATTGAGCTATTAATTCCTTTATACATCAACTGATCGAGATCGGATTGATGCTTACGATCAGGGTTCATTGGGTTCTATTTATAGTGAAAATATGAGCTCCAACGGTTGAGGTTTTGATACTTTTCATCTGATAACGGGACTTTTTGCGACTACTGTCTTATCAAGTAACTTAAACATCTGTCAATCTATTGAATTTCTTGATTATTATCATTATTTAGAATGATCTCTCACAAGTTGGGTTTTTGTGAAACTGGTATTTTTATTAGAATTTTATTCATTTGTAGAAATGCAGTTGATTAGACAAGAAAAAACGAAGAATTGCTTTCGAATTCGAACATTTGTTGTCTAAATGATTTTATTTACTTTTTTGTTAATATCAATATTTCGTTAATGTCATTTTTTGCTCTTGAAATTTGTTTATGCAATTACGACGTAGAATAAATTTTGTAGTTGTTCTTGTTTTTTTTTTTTTCGTTATTTCATATTTGAAGAATAGAAGTATTACTGTATAAGAGTAAATGCTTAACTAAATTAACTATGACGTTACCTCTCAAGAAATTTTTCTCAATCGTTTCGAGTAAAGTTTCAAGGAATAGTGTTTTTGTAATTCTAGTTCTGAGTTTTATTTCGAAAAATTTTGTTTTAGCTACTCCGATTCTATCAGAATTGGAATTGAATTTCTGAGTTCGGTGCAAATAGAGGCCTGCAGGTTAAGGTATTTTGACAACCTGTAACCTGCCCTGCTGAGATTTTGGCAACTTGTAACCTACCATACCCTGTGAATTTTTTTCGTACCCTGCTCTGCCCTGCCCTACTGATATTTTGGCAATCTGTAACCTGCCTTGCCCTACCCTGCTTTGTCTAACACTACAGATAAAAATCGAAACTTTCATGTCAATTTTATATGCAATTTCATCCATTTTATTTCAGAGATAAAGCAAAAAAGGAATGCCACATATTCTGAAAATTTGTAATCATCAAAATATCAATAATGCCATCTGAAGTTAATGATTATCTTCTTTTTTTTTCGTTCAACATCTTTTTCTGAATTGTGACATAGACGATATTTTACAAGCACGAAAATCTGACTAATATTGTTGATGATATTTGAGAGATTAATTTATGATGAAAATGTAGAAAAGTATAAGATACAACTCAAAATTAGAGAAATCAACGTGCATTTGAGTAGCTATATGTACAAAGAATAGTTTTGCAATCCAAGGACTAGAAAAACCAAGAAATTTATTAGAATGATAGAACGAACATAAAAATTGATGTTTTTCAGATTCCCTGATTAAAATTGAAATTTTCATTAATATAATTTCATAATTTTCTTTAAAAATCAAATCCATTTCATTTGCTTTATTAAAATGTTCCTTTTAATCACCGGACTTCAAATACATCAATTTTCATGTCTGGTCCAACAATCAAATCACCTCTTTTTTTTCGTATTTTTGATATAAAATTCACGAAAGTCATGAAACTTTCTGGATTTGTACGTCCATGATAATTCTATTTCTGTTAAATATCTTGGCAAACACTTTAATTTGGTTATCAGCTTACTTCTATTCTTTTCTTTATGTATAACTTTAGAAAAGATGTTGACAATATCTGATATGCAAAATTTGTCGCAGATTGACAGATTACGACATACATAATCTGCAATCTGTTCTGTAAAAATTTTCGTAACCTTACCCTGCCCTGCCCTGTTCCTAGCGTAACCTGCCCTGCCATGTCCTGACCGGGCAGGGCAGGTTATCTATAACCTGTAGGGCTCTAGATGCAAATCTCTAGTATCGAAAGACGATATTTTTCAAATGAATTTTTTTATGTGCTTTTCAATAAACGACCTGTAGAAAATCTTTGTAATTCAGTGAAATTAATGCGGCGACATCAATTAATGAACGATAATTGTTTGTTTGAAAAATCTTTAAAGAATTTTCAAAGAACGAAGGATTTAGCATATCTATGAGACTGCTACAACTATAAGCACGAGGATGGTTCAACACTCCAAAAAGATCAAGGTAAATATGCAGTGCACTGAAAGATCAATGAATAATTATTATATTTAACAACATACAAATAAAATAATTACAATTATATATTATTTAGAATTTAATCAATTTGAGTTAGAATATTTGAATGAGATATGAAAATAAGATTGAATAAACAGTTTTCGAAATGTTGATTTTTCAGTGGTTGACTAACATTTATTTGTAAGTTATGTATATGAATCTTTTATTCACCGTTACTTTCACATCTATCCTTTCTATAGTCTTGACTTTTTTTTTAATACTAAACTTTCCTTGTACTTATCGTTCATCAATTTCTACATTTTATTATTAAAGAAATTCGATAAGATTATACAGAATATTATCGTTTATTTATTAAAACATCAAATTTTAGTCCCTACTAATAAAAATATACATGTAATATTGAAATTATTGAATTTTATTAGTTGTTAAAGTTTATGATATCGATTCTATAAGATTATTGTTTCATATTTAGTATCAACATTAGGTATTATATATTGAAGTAATTATTAATATGAAATGAATATATGATAAATATTTTAAGACTTACAACAACTAAGAATATTTTTATACATTAGAAAATATTATTTCAAAAATAATCATTTATATAAAAATATTGACAAATTTAATGATAATTGAATGCTATTTTCTTGAGGGTGGGTGGTGTGGGTGTGGGTGTGGGTGTGGGTGTGGGTGTGGGTGTGGGTG